TGTTTGTTTGTATGTATGTATGTATGTATCTATGTATGTATGTATGTATGTATGTATGTATGTACAAGGAACAGCATAGGATTCACAGTTCTGAACTGTCCGTCGCAGTGATATAGTAAGTCCTCGAAGAACATCATTCCTGATTAGCGGGGGAAGTCATGTTTTACCATGTCTTCCCCCAAATTTTCTATCTGGACAGTTCGAAATTGAACGAACACTCACAAAGCTGTGTGCTCTTACTTTTCGTTCTCATCCAAAGTGGATATAAATAACAAAACCCTCGAATTGAAATGCATCTTTTTCGCCAAACAAACTGTGATCCTTTATGGGACAATATATACAGAGACAATGCCACCTTCCCCCAAATAACTGAGAAAATTTTCCGTTTTCGTGTGAATAAATATATCCCCAGAAGTACGGTATACTTGCAGTAAATTTTTGTAATGAGAAGTTCAAAGTCATCCTGGAAACAAAAGAAAACTTTTCTTTCTCAATTCGCTTCTTTTCGTAATCTGATGAACGCATTGAATACTGACGTCGTATTTGTGCCTGATTGCATTCAAATAGTAAAATGATTTCAAGAACACGACTACAAAGAGTATTCTTTCCCGCAAAACAAACGAAATATGTAATTAGGAGAAAGTAATCCTTAAATGAAATTTTAACGGAAATTAGACGATTCGTCAAATGACAACGGAAAGAACCCCTATCCAATGGACAGATTAGAGACTACCAGATGGGAATAATATTATGCACGGAGTGTCGTCCGGTTAGATGCCACTAAATTTTGATCAGCATGCGCTAATAGGTGTATTATCACAAAAGAATGAGTATTGTGTAAAAGCTGGAGGAAAGGCAGCAGAAGTGATCAGGCTTCAGGTAGTGTGCTCAGCTAATCACAAATACTATAAATCAGCAGAGTAGAGTGGAAAGTGTAGATTACCCGGATTATATAGTTTGACAGCCACTACCATGTAGGTGGGAGGGTGAGTCACATGCTCTTGCTTTCGGTTCATCTCTGAGTGCTCAGTTTCCAAACTTTCATTTCATGTANCCCACACTTACCTGGGAAGAGGCTCACGAGCCCAGCCATATCCACCAAAGACTGGATGATCTTTTATCGCCCTTTTTATCAGTATTCTGCTTTCCTCCTGTGGAATAACCCACCAGTCGATGGTCTGATTCAAAATTCCCGGACCCAAACCAATAGTGGTACGATTGAAATAATATGTGAATTGTTGCATGAAATCCCGATGTGGCGGACTCCACGGTTGTCGATAAACACAACACGGTCCGTAACCGGTGGCTCTATCCGAGATGAAATAAGCCGTCCCGTTATAGTTGAACAACACACAGGGGAAGTAGCTATTCGGTTCGAAGATTGGCACACAATAGTCTGTATATGATTCAATCATGATGCCCAAGTCTGCGGCATACCATGTGGCTCCACGACCAATCGCGTACGGTAATTCTGGTGGATTCAAAGTGGGCCATGGTGGCAAAGGAATGTCTTCTCTTGGTGTGTAGTACAAAATAAATTCGGTGTAGAATCGTTCGGGTAGATTCGGAGGCAAAACGGACATAGGACAGACATCTTCAGTGCACGAGGAAGGCCTTTGGGGAAGTTTACTGATGAATGATTTCCTTTCTTGTTTGTGAAAGACCTAATCGGTACGAGTCAAAGCAGAATAGGAGTAAACAGTTTTACCATAGAGTTACCAATAATAACAGCGACGGATAGGTTTTGAGCATAAGTTTGCATTATTTTTATTCTCAGTACTTCATGGATTTAAATAACTGTCTTGTTTGGATAGCCACGACTATAAGGAATGGATATGATGCACAGATCTTGTGTTTAACGAGCACTATAGCCACCTAACTTGACCACTACTTTAAAGTTCCATAGTAACTATTGTCGATCGTGGTTCTCGTACATTAACTAGTCCATTCAGTAAAAGGAGTTAAAAGCTTAAACTCTTTATTTAGACCATGATCAATATCGAAAATATGGTTATACACCAGATGACCTCTGTCAAATATGAGATGCATCGGTGGTTGGAAAAGATCATTGTATAGCCAACTTTTTCGTTATATGGGGTTGTAATGACGGAGTGCTCAGAAAGCCTTCGTCCGTTTAAACTACGTAATTATAAGTCAATATGATTATATACTGAGCACTTGTACAACGTAAAGCACAGCGTTTGCACCCGGCTATACTAAATCCGGTTGTATTGATTGCTTATGTATCGGGTGAGTTCGTGTGTGTGCCTTACCTTTTGCTGATTGATAATGTTCACCTGTTGAAACCTCCTAAAACCACTGTTATCGCCAGAGCATGGTTGGCTTTACTTTATAAAATAATTGCAATATATGTTAACCCATTCTGAAAGTGAAATAGTTTGACAAATGTGCGTTTAAATATTGTTTACGTAGAATTATTTGACACTGTACAGTTCAATTTTCCACCACGTTTGAAGTTACCCAATTTTCTGATCAAGTTAATGATTTTGAAAGTTCAATCGATAATTTTCCATTTTTAGTGTTTGTCTTGTCTGAAAAAACCGTTTTTGAATGGATAAAATCCCAGGGTATTTGAACTAATAAAATTGGACTATGTTGAAAGAGTTTGGATCTCAAAAATGCAGTACGATTTATACCAGTGCAACACTACTGAAACTGCATAGGTACCAGTCGGGAGATGCGTCATACTTCTAAACAATAGAAAGTGATGAATCACAGACAGAGAAATCCACCAACCACAATCAGTTCATATTGCACCAGAACACAATTGCTATTTCTTATAATTGAAGAATAGAATGAAGTATTTCACTAACATTAATACTTGGTGGACAGGTATAGGTTTTGGATTTGATCCAGTTTGCTACCTTGGAGTTGAATTGCTATATGAACACCGGATGGCGATCAATGCACTGCGGAACAGTCGGACCGCACAGTCACTGAGATCTAAGTCTCGGTACATGGAACCTAACCCCGACGAGTGGGATTGACGAATAGCATAAAGCTCATTGTCTTGGCTGTGTAGAATGAAGCCAGGCGAAGAAGGCGTCCGCATTTTAAGGAAATAAAAACCGAGACAATGTCCGGATATATGCATTTATTATTATTATTATTATTATTATTATTATTATTATTATTATTATTGGGTTGATGCTTCTGCAAAGCAATATTGTGAAATTTTATCAAGTAAGGCTCAAGCTATGCTACAGGCTGAATAATGATGCGTGTTCCTCAAAGTCTGAAATGGAGACTAACAAATTGCAATACATATCTTGCCTTATAAATTAAAGTTTGTTGCTGTAGAGATCTGATGCATATGACCGGCGGGACAAAAGTAAACGAATTGCCGAAAACATTTATCCAATCGTATAACTTAAATAATAAAGTTAGATGTCAGAACATACTTACCAATGCTGCTGTTTCATTTAGTCGAGGAAGCAGAACAATTACAAACAGTAGAATTAGGCAGAAGAGGACAAGCGGAAATCTGGCATATTCGCTAGGCATTTCCACTCTATGAGGATTCGGCTTTCCAGATTTGATTATTTGCGTCATAGGTTACTTGCAGATCAGAGAACAAGACCACAGTTTTAAAGGGAACTGTATGTCTGTGCTGTTTGGGGTTTGGGCATCTCTCGCTGCGCCAGTCGGCTGTGGTTTACACCACGAGAGTGTGTGTGGACGCAGACATGTGAAAGGCAAAGAGTGTGCGTGGACAGAACAATGCTGATAACGCGCGAGTCGCAGCTGTTCATAGGTTTGCAAAAACAATGGTGCAGCAACATTGTCCGTCGCTGATTGATTGATCGATCGATCGATTCTTGAAGCTCTAGCAATGTATCACTCGTTGTTGGATCCCAGAGAAGTGCGTGTATGCAAGGCTGAAGGTGGCACATAAAGTGACGTGTATCAAATTTATTCATCTAGCCCAGCATCGTATAAAAGGTTGCAAGGGAACAAGACAATGATACAATACATTACAACAATGTAATTTCTTATATTTTTAGTTGCCATTGTTATTATTTCGGTTTAAGGTAGCGGAGATATCTGCAGGACAAACAATGTTAGCTTATAATTTTCTGACTATAAATATATTTTCATTCAGTGTGACAGAGAAACTGATATGTAATAGACATAGCTTAATGAGTGATATCACGAATAAATTTAAAAAACTCTGTGGCTGTCACCGTACGTCTTTTAGTTTATCCGATTGGACACGATCACAAATAATGTATTCAAACTGAAACGGTGCGTATTCAGACGGACAAAAGATTCCTCCGTAGTTCCCGATCAACGCCAGTGAGTGTCGGGCGAGAAAGGTGTAGAAATTCGACTCACTATGAATAAACCTCAGATTAGACCCTACGTGCGCGTTCGCCCTTTTTGTGTCCAGTCGGTGGTAAATGATGAGGATTCGAACCCGTCTGTGGCCGAACTCGCAAATTGGAAGCTGATCTATCGTGAACACGATAAAACAGGTTTCGCTGTTATTCCGTCGTCCTCCGAGAGTGCTAAATGGTTAATAAATGAATCAGTATTTGAATAAATCCCATCTGATTTCTATGCGTGAACAGTAAAATAGATTTTATCTAGCGACAAGAAACAACTATGTTCGGGCATTGTCATTAATATTAACTGTTTATTTTCACGGATCACAATCTCTCACAAATTATACCCCCCATGCTTTCAATGAAAAGATCTGACACTTAAAGTCATCGGGAAATTTACAAATCAGTAATTGACCGATTGTTGACTAATCATTATCATACCTTTAATTTACCTTTTATATTGCGCACCAATCACGCGGAAAAATAACACATTTGGAAAAGCCGAGGAAAATATTTTTGTATCACAAACCGCACGTGAGTAAAAACGGGATCAGAGTATCCCACGACCCTATCCTCATCCTACATTACAGTCTAGTCCACAACAGTATGACTGCACTGACTTGTAACGGCCCCAGGTAGTGGTTGATCAGTCACTTGGATCAAATACGTCCCGTATCACGGGTTCAAATTCCAATGTATCCCGAGAATGTGCATTAATGCTGATTCCTTGAATGCAAATTATGAACACCCATTTTGTTATTTGCTCCTTCTTTCCTGAAAACCTTTTTCATTTATAATAATCCACGATGGGACTGATTAGCTGCTTCATCCGTGTTTGGTCTCGTCAGTACCTATGGGTTGCTGTCGGGATTTGAACTGCAGCTCTTGAGGTTGGGAGCCGAAACTCTTTTCCTCTAACCGTGTAACCGACGGTCAAGGTTTTTTTTGTGGGGGGAGGAGGGAGTAGGGGGAGCGCATTGGTGTGCGTGGTTCAAAAAGCGTAATTTCTTCGTTGTTAAATTCGCGGAAACACTGTCGAAATACAGCAATATACTCCTCTTCAACCAAGTGGGAAATAATTGACTTTAAGAAAAAATTCACCATCTGTACCGTGAAGTTGACATCCGAAGATATTCTCATGCCGCTCGGGAGAGGAACTCAATTTAACGGAGTAATCAATATATATATATATAAGGAAATTGAAGCATGAAACGCAACTAAATAACGACTGAACCAAGTGAAGTGTGCTCCTGTGTCAATGTGCCCGAGAAGAACCAATGCATGCATAGCTTTTGGCGCGACAGGCACGGCTGTGTACTTTGTTTTCGCTGAGCCTATTCTCCCACATCAAAATTGAATCTAAATCAAATTAGTCGAGTTTTGTACATTATTTTGTTTTGCATATCACGTGTTTTTGTTTTTGAAATTTCATTTACACTCAACAACATACGCCTTCATCATCCAAGAACAAATGACTAGTTGCTGGGTTACATATTTCATCAGAAAAACATTTACCCTTTGGTCACGAGAATCGATTTTTTAGCTGAAGGAACTGTTGACTTACAGTTTGGAACTTGAAGTGGCGAACCCCATGATATCCGAATCGGCCACACGTAGTATCCAACTGGAAATTTTTGAAGAAGCCGATAACTAAAATAAAACATCGCTGAGAAGAGCTAAATCGGGGACTATAGGATCCCGAGACCTCTACTGCAAGTAAATCACTCTGCTTAACCATCACTACCATAAGCCCAGTACACGGTAAAGTAAAAAAGGGGATCATTTTTTCCACTGATACTTCGTACATTTAAGTGAAGTGTTTGATTCACGGAAAAGCATGAAACAAATCAAACTAACAACGACCAATTTTTCACTAAACGTGAAACAAAAATTTGGAATATGAAGACAGGGTAAAAGCTTTAAAAAAGGCCATTTACTACTTCTGATTTCAAATTGAAAAGAAACAAATTGTAACTTTCATAATCCATCCGGAAACATGTACCTATCGTATCTGCACACCGAATTCCAGAGAAAAACATTTAAAATGAGAAATAGCATTGATTGACAGTTTTCAGAAAATATATTTTATACAATTGCAGTCGATGAAACCCGGAATTGGATACTGGCATATGCGTAGTCCTTCAACTATAACTACTTCTTCTGCTTCATGTAGCTTTCAGACTAATAATCCGAAAGTGAAGAAGTGGGGTTGAATCTGGTCGTTCACATATCTATCG